ATTATTTATTTTTGTAAATATGTACGAATACACACGCACGCACGCACGTACGCATGCACGCACGCACGCACGCACGCACACACACACACACAGAATGTTAGTTAAATATATTACCATACTCAACAGAGCGATTCTTTAGTTTATTTCAATTAAAAAAGTAAAGTATAAATATGTGTCCTAAACGGTTTAGTTACCAAAATAAAAAAATTTAAACATGTAATAATAATCTGTTTATTTAAAAGAAATAAAAACAGCTTAAACTAGTTAAAAACTAGTCAAAAACAGAAAAACAAAAACAGGCTTCATAGTTCTTCTGATGAAATAAAACAATTAGATGAATTGTTGAAAATGTCCACCTTGCGCCACGATACATCCATCGAGCTTTCTTCTCAAGGATTGACGTATATGCTCAAAGATACCAAGTGTTAAGTGTTGTGAAGTATTGCCTCGCATGAAGCAACTATTCGATTTCTCAAATAATTTTCATTCTCAATTGGAGTGATATAAGCCAATGATTTCAGATGCCCTCAAAGGAAATAATCCAAAGGATTTATGTCTGGTGATCTAGGAGGCTTTGACTTTGACTTTGTCACTTTTTTTATGGTTGTGCGAATGGTAACTTACGTGAAACAAGGCATATTTATGCAGGAAGATATCTCAAACGCAATTTACCGTTTCGTCAAATATTTGCAAACATTCCTGTATTTCGAAAACTAAGTCGTTTTGGACATATTTATATGGACTCTTTTACTTAAAATAAACCAAAGAATTGTTCTGTTGAGTATGGCAACATACTTAACTAACACCCTATATACATGTAATAATTTTTGGCTGTTAACTTCTAAAAAAATTGTAATATTTTAATAAAAACAAAATATGAAATAATACACTATTATTTTTTTGAGATTATAAATATTAAGCAACGTATTTACAAAGATATACTGAACTATTTTGTTCAGTATATCTTTGTAAATACATTGCTTAATATTTATCCTTTTCTATGGTGATATTTCTAATACTAAAAAAGTTAAAATATAAAATATTAAATTTCTTCATCTTAGTCTTTATTTTTAGTCTAAATTTTATCTTAGTTTTAGAATAATCTTCGAAAGAGAAAGTTAAAGAATAATAAATATTTATTTTCTATTTGCATAATGTACAACTGATTCTTATAGTGAAATTCTGTAAAATTGCACTTTACGATTAATAAAAAAATGCAATAAGTTTATTGTTAAAATTAATCTTACATTCAATTATTTTTTTCTACTTTCATATTTCAGAAGCAATAGTGTTAAGTAATCATGTATTTTAGTTAATTTTTATGGAAATCTTATAAAATCGAAAATCTTAAAATACGAAATCGATAAACCAATTGTCTGGATTTGCTGCTTCATCAATCTATAAGCCAGTATAGCCAATAACATTTTTATATAATATACTCACTTAAGTCTAATATATGTATGTCACATACTATTAAATCTAAAATCCTCTTTTTTATTTGCTTTGTCTTATCCTAAAGTTCCAAAATCAATATGTGTAGTAAACCTTAAACCTTAAAAAATTGATCAGTCAGAGTCGATTATTCTTTATATACTCATTCTTTTCAACTGTGATTGATTAATTTCTTAAGGCTTAAAGCTTATTATACCTATTGTGTTTCACAACTTATAGTATTGTGTTCAGAACTTATAGTATATTGAAGACTTATATTATATTAAAGTTTGTAAATGTTAATTATCCTCAGAGATTCACCGGATATCCGAAAAATATCCGGGATTATCCAGTATTTTTTTACTATCTGATCGGATAGTCGGATATCGTTAGGTATTCGAGAATATATCCAGAAATTGTATATCATTAAATTGATTTTTTATTATATAAATGTTCAGTAAATAAGTATGCATACTCATAATGCTCTTATATATTGTTGCAAAATTATAATGTTTTTCTCTATAGTTATCATTTCTATTGATAATCAAACTCGAACGAAAACATTGCAATTATAATTATTATCACTATTTTTTTCTCACAATCGTTTTTTCGTTTTGCTCCTTTTTTTTGTTTTATTTAGCTTTTTTTTAGACATTGTTCCGATCGGATATCCGGAAAATATCGGATATTCGACTTGAAAAATTGCCTTCCCAGATATCCGATGTTATATTTTGAATATCCGATATCAGATAATTTTACGATCCGGTGCATCCCTAATTTCGGTCATAAGTCTACAATAATTATTGTAACAATATTAGGAATATATTACATAATTTATAAAACATCTCAATTATAATATACATTAAAGCACTATTCTCTAAGTCGTGCTAATCTCTGTGTTAATTCATCTTGCTCTTGGCTTACTGCTGTTGAAGTGCCAATACTGCCAAGTTGACCTGATGGAAGTTCCATGTTCAATTCCAATCTGCAAAAAAATAAAATCAGGTAACTTTATAACTATCCAATAAATAAAATGTTTTCCAAATACAATTCAAAGTAATAAAAATTTTTGTTGCTTTAAATAATATTAAAAATAATTCCTCTTTATATTATATATATTATATTATATTATATATAAGACAGAATTATATATAAGATAAAAATTTAAGCTCTTTGCTTAATCATAAAAAACTTGAAATAACAAGAGAAGTACAGTTAGAAATAGATTCTTACCCAGCTTCGTCTGCAACTTGCTGCATCAGAGAATCTACATCATTCTGGGGTACATTAGTAGTCGTGGTTTGCGACATAGCATTCTCCATGTATGAACTTTGCACATCCAGATCCTCAAATTGGCTCTCAAATTTGTCCATAAGTCCAGAAATCTTCTCTAAATTCATTGATTTCATAGCAGCATCCATGGCTTTGACAACACCAGCCATGGATTGAGTAACTTTGCGAGTTGTCAATGCAGTCTGCACTCTACTAGCTACTGCATCTACTCTGGCGCTCATTCTAAGATAATTCAAGGCTTGATTCTTCTGTCGAATTGCATTCTCTGCATGAATGCGAGCACCTTCCATATTACCCTTTTGTATCGCCTTCTTGATCTTTGACTTCTCTATTTTCTCTTCCTTCTCACATTTCTTTGAGTTTCTTTCTAATTCTTTTACCGCAAATTTTAAATTAAATAAGTTCTCTATATTTTTTGCTATTAAGGAAATTTCTATGATTTGCTTTGTTTACGAACTGGTATAAATTATAAATAGTTTAATTTCAGGGAATAGGAGAGTTACTATTCCTTTTTATAATAACAATTTGATAAAGTTTTGCATGCAATTTTGTACGACTGAGTCATAAATAAAGATTAAGAAAATTATTTAGAAAAATAACTTGCACCATTACAAGTTTACTTAATGAAAAAAGTAATTTGTAACCAGTAATGAGCTACAAGTCATGACTAAAACACGAGTTACAAATGCCGAGTTAAATTCTTCAATAACAAGTGAGTTTTCAAATTCATTACAAGTATAACGATTGAGTGATTTTCCAATGTTAATGTTAAATGTTAAAATGACAAGATATAAACAAAACCGTATATTTTGAATATAAGATCAGATAGAATATCACCTACAATCCGATTTATACGAGTACATCATTAACTGTTATAAATATATGTATAAGAATAAATTGTAAATTTAGAATTTTTAGGTTTATCAAACCTTGTATTTCTTTTGAAAACGTTTTCGTATGAATTTCTTATTTTGCATTTAATTTCATAAGAAAAAACGTTTTACAACAAGATTTCGATGCACAATTATAATTTCAAAGGATACTTTCCATCTGAGAGACGGACATTGCTGACTGTTCGGCCCCCGTTGTGATGAGAATACAGTTCTAACCTCGAAGATAAGACGGATTACCAAACTTGAACGCTGATCTTTGCCGATACCGTGTAACGTATAAAGTAGAAAAGTAGCACGAATTTGTCACAAAAAATGCGAGTATACACACAATGACACGTTACGTGGATTTGAAGAAACGTAAAAGTGCTATCTTTTGATTGACATGACGAACTCACTTCTTTTTCTACATAGACACAGTATATACAGTAGAGCAACTCTCTGTCGGTACCTTTGATATTAGTGGCCAAAATAGAGTGCGCATGCGTGAAATAAGTAAATTATCTAGCGTTGCCACGGTTACCACCTAAACTTCTTTCTCTTTTATCTTTTTTTAGCATTCCCCTGTCGTTCGACTGTAACAGAGAAATACTCGACTATAGTTGGTTGGTTTTTACATCCTAATCCGGTTTAAACCATCGGTGGAAAGTAGGCCACTGTTACTAATCCGTACAAATTAAAATCGTGTTATCTAGGGATTTTTGTAAGTACCAACATTTTCCAGTCTAGTTTTTCAGGAAAATGTCATGTGTAAGGGCCACCGCACACAGAATGACAAACTGCATAAGCATAGCACATGATCGCTAGACTAATGATCATCCGACAAAAAGACGCCATATTAATTTGCATGAGATGCTCATTGGCCTAGCGGTCTTATGCTATGTTTATGCAGTACATGTCATTTTGTGTGTGAATTTTCATTTAGGGATAAAGTTTCATGATTGATACCCTTATATACTATAACCTTGATATATGTAGCAAAGCATCTTACAACCTTTACTGGAAAAATTATATATATGCTTATTGGACTGTGTTCGGAAATTTATCCGGGTGCACCCATATTATTTATCTGTGGTCACCAGAGGTCCAATGACGGGACGCGCTCGGTTTCGCGTAAGCATCTCAGTCACGCAAAGATCCTTTAAATAGAATAATGATTGAGATTGATTCCAGGGCGTCTAAGACAGGTCCCCATTATATCGCTTTACTGATGAGTCTAGTAGTGTGAGACCGAGACGAAACGCCACGGCCGACCACTCAGCTTCGAGTCTGGCCTCCTTTAGTGAGTTTCCTCCTTTACCGACATGCCTAGGACATTTCCTTAAGCAATCCGCTACATTAAATGGTGATCTACCGGCGTTGAAAATGGGATCACTATATATCCTCGGTTAACATTCGGTGAACAACAAGGATAAAATGATACATAGATGCACTCAAGTGAAGACAACCTGGATATTGTTAGACGGGCCGGGTTTCAGACGCATGCGCGTCCAATGTAGCTTCAGTAACGTACCGGCCACTAATAAATAGGAGATTATTAGTCGCTTAGGGTTGAAAATGTTGAAAATTTTAATATATTTTACATATTTTACATACGTATACATATATGTAATTATATATAATATATTTCTATATATGTATACATATTTAAAATATGTAAAATGTACTAAAATTTTCAACATTTTTGAGAAAATTTAACATAGGCGACTATCTCCTATTTACTAGTAACCGGTACGTTACTGAAGCTACATTGGACGCGCATGTGTCTGAAACCCGGCCTGTCTAACAACGCTGGATGTCGCGCGTCGCGATCGCGTATCGTGCATTGCGCTGGTGTGCAAGAGTCATAACAATAAAAATCGATCTTAATTGAAAAATTGTAAACTTGTCACGCGAAAATGAATGAAAATTTGCTAAGACGGATAAAAAACCAATTAAACGGAAAATTTTATATAATGAATGACGCGTGGCTAAGAGATTGCGTCGAATTCTTTATTAGGGACAAAGTTACTCATGAAGTATGTAACTAATTATTGATAAATGTTATTGAGTGCGTTTTGCATAATGCATCAATTTAACTTTTAATTTGGTGAACGACAACGATAAAATACATTATGTATAAAGCAGAACGCGTCGATTTTTATTGTTTTACATGTATCTTTATTAATTAAAGTTAAGGAACATATTATTATTTTGAATCTTCTGACGAAATCTTCTGAAGAAACGTTGAGCGAGAGAAATGTTTTATTATAACTTATTAACTCTTACTTCATCAAATGAAATTCCTTATAATTTGTGCTTTAATAAGAATTAAAATTACAAATATATTTAAAAGATCCTTAATAATTTGTTACTTTGTACTTGATTTAATGCTTGAAATATATTTGTATGGTGTGCGAAATCAGTTTGTGAAAAACAGTAGAAAAAAAAGAGAGATTGCTTATTAATTGTTAAGCAATATTGAACCACTGAATTGTTAAAATTCTTTAACAATTCAATGGTTCAATGTTAAAGAATTTTAACAACTCAGTTCAATATTGTTTAACAATTAATAAGCTCTCTTTTTTTTCTGTTATTTTTTACAGACTGATTTTGCATACAATAAATATATTTCAAGAATTAAACCAAGTACAAAGTGACATATTATTAACTTATAGTTGCTGTTGGCAATATACATAATAATAAAAACTATAATTCTGTTAATATTGCTCGAGGCAATTAACTTCTATTGATTATTGTTACAGATGACAGATAAGCATATTTTCGAATTTGTAGAAGGCCAATGGCAACTGAGTGATCTACGGGAGATTAACAATGAAAATGGATGTTTGCCAAAGAATCTGGCTCAACAGACACACATTGTATTGACTGGTACCTATATCCTCCAGGTGAACTCTTTGTGGTATTCCTATCATAGCACATATTTTTTTACCTTAGACATCCAAATGTAGATCATCCGATATGAGTATAGGTAGACAAGATGTATGATATAGCGAGCTCCAAATATAAGCAGCTTTGTGAAATTCGTAAAATTGACAACCAGAACTTGGAAGTAAAGGAAGAAGAGCAGCCGATGGAATGGCAACCCAAAGGTAGAAGAATGATGCAACTTTGTTTAACTGATGGAGTGCAGGATGTCACTGCGATAGAGTACACTTCACTTAAACAAATAACTGTACGGCTTTTTCCATTGTTTCAAATGAATGCAGATCTCTCTCTCTCTCTCTCACACACACACACACACACACACACACATCCAGATTATCAAATTAAAACATTAAAAATGTTTCCTTGCAGGATATATTACTTCCTGGTTATAAGATAATGATAATTGGCCCAATCCATTGCAGACGTGGTGTTATTCTCCTAGAAGATGGCAAGTATAAGGAAGTTGGCGGAGAAGTGGAAACTTTGTTAAAATTCAACGCGCTAGAAAATGTCTTGGCAAGAGCTTTGTAAGATTTGATCCGAGTTTCCTTCGAGTTTGAATTATTTTTTACTCTTTGGCTTCAGCTTTTTGATTTCTATGTCTATTCAATTGTCCAGAGGAGAATCTGAAAATCCAGATCCATATAATGATAATGGATTATCCAGGATCATAAATCAGAATGTTCAAAACACAGCATCTAATTCTAACAACAATGACAGTTTTTTCGATGATGACTTTGAAGAAGCTGTTGACTTGGAAGCAGTGACAGCAATCGAACAACGAAGCCAAGAAATTAATGCTGTTCAAGAAAACTTTAGAAATACGTGTGATCGCAAACAAGTAGATAGGAAAGAAACGAATGAAATTATGCAAACTTTGGAAGATATAGACTTTGAACCCTTAGAAGATTGGTAAGTATTAAAGACAGTTTCTTAATATGAATTTAATTCAGGTAAAAATTGATATCATTTTTAGTTATATAAGGATTTGCTTTAAAATTCACAATTTTTTGATTTTATATTTTGATTTACAAAAGTAAATTTTACCTTACTGTGTAGTATCCTCTAATTTTACTAATTTTACTGTAATAATTTAAGCAATCATTCTAGGTCCAATGATTTCCCAACAAGATCTTCACGGATATCGCCGTCACAATTGGAGACTAAGAGAATTGATAAGAATGATAGAACGACAGTTGAACAAACTTCTATACTCAATTTTCACAGCAAATTATCACTTTCTACGAAATCTATTCAAAATCAAAATTTTTCAGAATTTCCTGATGACGATTTTGACTTAGATGATTGCGACATCATAATTAAGACAAAGGAATCACAGAGGTTCTTTATCCATATCTATGCATCATATTATTTCGATATTTATCTATTATTTATTTTTTTTATTCAACATTTTTTAGTCAACAAGGTGAAAATCCTTTAATGAATAAAACCAAAACATGTCTCTCGTTAGAACCGCCTACGAAATTAACAAATCGTAATGCTCCAATAGAAGTTAAAAAAAGTACATCCATGAAAGCGGCACAAAATGAAAAATCAGTGGTATATAATATTTATAATTTAGTATTTTTTTTTACTACAAGTATGAATGATTTTTTCTTTTTTAATTGCTTTCTCTTCTTATTCAACTGTATAATTTTGTCAAAGGTAAACACTTCGAGAGCAATACAGCAAGTACCTGAGACTAAAACTATTTCTGATTTTATCAAGTCTCGATCAGTTGTCAAAATCTGCGATGTCTTGCGCGATGTCTTACGCGAGCCTATTACGGAAAAAATATACAAGACAGTGAGAGGTCAGGTGAAGAACCATTCAACGTTAACAAAACAAGGCAAATGCTGGTCGGTAACAGCACTGATCACGGATTACACTTCCAGTGTAGAAGTTTGTTTCGATTCTGAAGTACGTGTGAGATAAAATGATTTCTTAAAGCTTTTATTGCTGTCATTTATTATGGATAGGAAGAGGAAAATCGTGAGAATCTTCTTTTTTCATTTCTTAATTTACGACAAGAGTCCTAACATCCATATCTTTAATTCTCGAGAATCGCGGTATATCTGAGATACATACAAAATATATTTGTAAATGTTGTTAAATAGCGACCATTTACGTTCTGGATAAACAGTAGCTGTTATATGAGTTATTAAAACAGTTGAGATTATATTACAATGTCACAGAAAAATATAATTATGACGTAATGTGGAAATATTATATGGATTTTTATTATTGTTAAAGAATTCCGCATTAATCCTATATGAAATTGAGTCCCGGTGAAATCAAATGATTTTTACGTTATAGCTTATGATCTGCTAAAGAAAACATAAGTTTTAGCGCAAAAAAATGAACAGTTTTTGTGTACTATTTACCTATAGTTGCTGAAATCTGACCATAAAATACTCAATAATTTTTAAACGACTGATCTAAAATGAATAAAATTATAGTGGTTTGAAAAGGTTTCAATAAGGACTATAAGAAAATGGAAGAAAAAGTGGGAGGGGGGGGTCTTATTTAAAAAATCCGAGTTGACTTTGCTCTACTTTGGCAATGCCACCCAAAGTCAAAAGACTATAACATATGTGAAAATCATTTGATTTCACCGAGATCCAATTTCATATAGGATTAGTGCGAAGTTTTTTATAATCTGTAACATAATTGCAAGCTAGTATTGAGAATAATCCAGTAGGGGTCGAAACGTTTGTTTAGAATTATTTTATTGTTTATATTATTCTTAGCACTAAACATCTAATTTGGCTCGTAGCCCTATTGTTTTTATTGTTTTATTAGAAAAATATAAATTTTGATAAATTGTATACTGAGAAAAATTTCTATTTGAAAATGAACGAACTAGAAGAGTCCGACCATATCAATAAGAATTCTGATTATTTCTCAACCAGAATTATAATAAATTTTATCAGAAAATTCTAATTTTTCCATTTTCAGTCAGAATTATAATTAATCCAATCAGACTTTTTTTCAGTGTTGTTATTGAAATAAAATATTTTCATGCATTCACATTTTTTTTTTTTTTTTTGCGAAAGATGTAATATTTATTTAAGATATTTGTATTTCTCAGATACACCGTGATCTCTGACGTGATCTCCCGAGGGTTGATAAACATGAATTACTGAAATGCTTTTAGGTTCTGGAGGGTTTTCTTGGATTCACCGTACAAGAATTTTTGCAGAAAAAGAAACTTGCCAAGTTAGATCCTCAAGTAAAGAGCGAACTACGATTGGTAAGATGGATATATATTCATGATATAGTAATTGTCAAGGATAAATTCTCTGTCAAAATCTAAATTTTTCAGAGTCTACGCAAAGCACAACATGAAATTCAGAATTTGGATGCATTGTTGAAATTGGAATTGGTTCAAGGTCAAATGCCCAAAATCATTGGTATCACGCAGTTGACTACACAACAAAAAGAAGACCTTACGAAAAGATTTGCATGAAATATGTAAGTTGCAAGAGATACTTGATAATTTTTCAGAATTCAAGAATACTTGATACTTTTTATAAACAGCATAATGCTGCAGTCAGAACTATAAATAATAATCGCAAATATTTTAATTAAATTAGATTTAGGAATTAATTTATAAAATATTTTTATACAATTTATCATAAATGTTATTTGTAATAAAAGAAAACAATTCAACAGTTAGCATTAAGTGAACATATTACTCTCCTATATGTTCTATCCTATTTTGGACATATCTTAAAATCTGATTTAAAATATTAAAAATTAATTTCTTTATGTACTTTTATGCAAAAAAACTGTCGCTGACCAAAAGAGAACAAATTCTGATTAACGAATTGCATGATCATAGCATTTATTAACTAGTACATACAATTGATCATCGCGCAGTGGTACATTTTTGTCTCAACTCATTGTTTACCCTCATTTACTTTTCTCTCTCATTTATTCATATTTTTTTGTCACTCACACGCAGTATATTCTCTCTCGCATTCTTGTTTTCTCACTCATTCAACGTGATAACAAGTTCACAATTTTTCAATTAATATCGTTTTTTTTATTGTTACAATATTTACGCTTATTGCACGCTTTGCCGTGATATAAAATTCATTCCACTTTCTCTCTCTCTCTCTCTCTCTCTCTCTCTCTCTCTCATACTCCCTCTGTTTTCTATTCTCACTCTCTCGAGATATAAAATAAATTGTTGAAACACGTCGCACCGATGATTCTGTCTCTAAGGAGGATCTGCAAATAAATTGTTTAAATAACAATAATTTAAATATAAATATCAACGCAATATGTCTCGTGAATTTCTACAATTGTCGACATTGGGCTTCTTTCTCTCTCTGGTCTCTCTTTATCCTTGATCCTTTCCTTCTTTCCGTTTTGATGAGCGCAACGACAATGTCGTTTCTTGTCAGTAGCATCAGTCTGCCTTTCGTTGATCTAACTAAAGTTTGTCCTTTGTAAAATAACATTCTCGCAATAACTATTATCGTAGGAAACGCACATTGACTGCTTCGAGCCTTCGGGTCTTCTGACACTGTAGAACTCCCGAATTCGCGAGTTACCGAAGACACAGATCCTCGGAAACTTACATATGTATGATGATCTTAATATTTTATCTTATCGGAAATGCTTGATCGGTGTAATTAAATTTAAGAAAATTTAACTAAAATTCTCGAATCTCTGTAACCTTAACTAATAGAAGCCACTAAAGTTAGATCCTGGATACCTTGAATCCTGGGAAAGTCGAGATCATAAATAAGTCACTACTTTGTTTTCCTTCAACTAAAGTTGTATCTTTACGTGTTCTAATGCCTTATATCATAGCAATTTGAGTCTCTGAATTCGCAGATCTATGGATTCTCGGAAACGCTCCAATCTTCCAAAATTGAGATTATCTTGAAATTTTATATTTTTTGAAATTACAAGTTTTGAGATTTTTTAAATCTCAGATTTATGAAACTCGAGATCTATATTTTCTTCGATTCGATAATTAGAGTAAACTGTGACGATTCATTCTGGTTTTTTGAAGCCTTTCGAATTCTAGAAAATTTTGATCATAGGAATTTGAAATTTTCAGATCTATGATATAATAACGGGCGTTTCCTCGAGTCGTCGATAATCATGGATTCTTGGTATCTCGGATCTCAGGCTTTCACGAAATTTTCGGATCTTTACGGATCCTTCAAACTCGCATAATGCTCTCTCACTGTCTCCCGACTTCTCTACAGAATTATGAGCTTTCGAGGAATTAGTTTTCGAGGATATTCGACGAGCGTCGTCATGTCCGAGTCTTCCTCGGCCGGGACGATTTTCTGCAGTTCAACAGTACATGAGAGGCGCAGATCGATCATCAAGACGGCGGCGATGTCCTTGAGATCATTGGATCGCTTCTATCGATCGCAAATATCGCCGTATATGAATCGCGTGGGAACTCTCACGGTTGCTGCCTTAGTATCATGTTAAAATGTGTATTTTATATTATTGTATATGTGTATATGGTGTGTGTGATGGTGTGTGATGGTGTGTGTGTGTGTGTGTGTGTGTGTGTGTGTGTGTGTGTGTGTGTGTGTGTGT